CCAAGGACGCCGCCCACCTCGGAGTCCGCGCTCCGGACGGCCGTCGGAAGGCAGGCGAGGAGCGGCCCTACCGAAGGGGGTCGTGGCGTGGGAAGGGGCGAGCGGGGGAGGGAGGTCCGGAATCAGCTCCTCGGGGAGAATCCCGGAGGGGGGAAACCGGGCCGGGGCAGAAGGAGGAGACGTCGATGAACGGAGGGTCCCCGCCTCTCCCCGGGCAAACGCTGCCGGAGGGGGTCGCAGGCGCCCACCCGCGGCTTCTTTTAAGGCTGGATTGGTTGATTGATTGGTTGATTACATTTCTATGCCGCGCATCTCCCCTACGAGGTGACTCTGGGCAGATTACAGATTAGGAAACCAAGTGAAAAATAATTACAGTATAATTCGACTATTCACACAATTAATTTTATTAAGATTATAACGTTAACACCCCGGAACGGAGCAGGGAGTTACGAGGGTTGATACAAATATCGATAGAATTAGAGAACCTAAGAGTTTGTAGGCTCTGGAAGGTCATCTAGTCCAGGGGTCGCCAACCTTTTGGATCTCAGGGACCACCAAACTCATAATTTTAGATCCCAGGGACCACTAAGTGGTTCTGTGGGTGTGGCCTGATTTGTGGGTGTGGCTTGGTGGTCATGTGACCGGCTGGGCATGGCTTGTATGTAAATATAAATATTTATATAAATATTGATTTTTTTTATAAAAGAGCAACTTTTATTCAAAATCAGGCAAAGCAGGCAGGCAGATTGAGTTGCTCACAGAATCACAGATTCATTCAGAGATCTATCTATCTGCCATCGGCTAGCTCAGTCTGTCACATGAAATTTGCTTGCAAGCAAACTCATATGAAAATATTGCATTTTTTATTTAAAAAAAAGAGCAACTTTTATCCAAAATCAGGCAAAGCAGGCAGATTGAGTTGCTCACAGAATCATTCAGTGATCTATCTATCTGCCATCGGCTTGCTCAGTCTCTCAAATTTGCTTGCCGTGAGTCTGCACTGAATTTGCTTGCAAGCAAACCTTCAGTCCTAAGGGAGGTTCGGCTGTACTTAAAAGCAGAGCTGAAAATCTAAAGACTAGCTAGAAAGCAAGAAATCCAACCATTTCCTGCTTCCTAGCTAATCGGCACAGAAGAACAGATGATGGTCAGAAAAAGGAAAAACAGAAATTTAGCAGGCAAGGTTCCCGGGTAAAGACTGAGTGGGCGAGGAGCGTTCCCGTGGGCCATGTGGGCGGGGCAGCCTTATGCTTCTGCGCAGCCTGGATTAATTGTTTTGGGGGATGCTCTGGGGGTGAAATTTCTCTGTTCCATTCGGGTTCTGCTTGGTACATTCTTAAAATGTACATTGGTACATTCTTAAAATGTACATTGGTACTTTCTTAAAATACACACTGTATTCTTAAAAAAAGAAAAAAAAGATAAATGTATATAATTAAAACAACATTCCATTCCAATTCAATTATATCATTAATATTAATATTCATTAAAGTCTTAACATCTTTAACATTACTTTTCAATTAAATATCATACTTCTATGGGAACAATTATAAGCTTTCCATAATCAATTCCCCCCTCTTCACTTATATTTTATAAAACATTAACTAATTAAAATGTTCCCATTCCTTCCTAATTCAATTTTCTCATTTATTTTATTTCACTTATTTTATTCACAAACATTTCACTAAATTACACTAACTATTTTATCCTTCATTTTGATCATACGTTGTTTCCAATTTTCGAAAGTTATTTCTATTACTAATATAACAATACAATCTTATGTACCTTTACAGAATCCCTTTTTCAGTTAGATTTTCACCCATTATCTCTAAATAGGTCCTATTTCTCTATATCTTGCTCTGGTCCTTTGTAACTTCTTTTCCTTTCCTTCTTCCCTCTCTTCTTCTCTCTCCCCTTTTTACCCCCTTGTCTCTCTACCTCTATTTCTCTCTTCTGTATTCCCCTTTTCTGTTGCTTTCCAGTATTATACTTATTTTTCGAATTATTTTTCTTTTCTTTGGTTGTTTTTTTAAGTCTTAAATTCTCCATTCTCTTTCCCCCCTTTCCTTTTTCTTCCCCACATAGAATTACTTGTTCATTAAAGATGGCTTCTTCTTTGTCCCAGTCTTCATGTTTTGCAGTCTTTTCTTGTTGTTTCTCATAGTTCCAAATCTCCATTTCTAAGTATTGAAAGACGAAGCCAAAAGAACCCTTCCCTTCTTGTGCATCTTCTTTGTACTTTTTAAGTTCCATTTTCAATTCATCCAGAAGTGGTGCCATTGTATAAATTTTTAAACAACAACCCAGTTGATTTTAGTCATTCAAATATAATAACCAAAAATCCAAAGATCACCAAATAATCCAAATACACGCAAACTGTTTCTTTTTTGCTCTTTTTTTTCACTTTCTCTTCCTGGGGTTACTATTTAGTTACAAAGTTTCAGTTAAAACGTATCTTTTAGAAGTCTTGTTAAAGTTTTACTTTAGATTCTTTTTAATTCCAGGCAGTCTCCTCCCTCTTCCAGATCCTGCCCTTATTCTTTTTCTCTCCCTTCCTGCTTATGAAAAAGAAAGTTTTTAATGTGCAGAAATCTTTATTATCCCTTTGGCATTTTGTTTTATTTTCAGCTTAATTGCCTATTGATGTCAAAGCGGATTTTTCCGATTTCTTATTTAAGTCTCTTAGTTGTCAATATAGGGAAGGAGAGAGAAGAAGAAAAAAAGCCAAACCTTTCCCTTTTCCCTTTCCTTTGCTGCTTCTGACTCTTTTTTGGGAGCGATGTTATTTTTTGTAAGTTTAAATTCCAGGGTACCTTGGTTGTTGCTTTTACAATTTAACCCGGTCACCCAAAACTTTCACTTCTTATCTTCCTCCTGCACATTCTTTTCTGGTCAAGTTCTTCTTTGTGGTGGCCATTTCTGACCACCGCTGCAACCACCTTCAGGAAAGGGAGTAATGGCCAGCTGAGGAGGAGAGATGCGGCTCTCCTCGACCATGCTGGCGGTCTCCCCCCTCTTCACCACCTCTACGGGGTGGCTTAGCCCCGAAACCAGCCAGTTCAGGGCACTCCAGCGGCGAGCCCAGATAGAAACCGCGCACGATCGCGGATTTCTGTCTGTCACCGAAGCCCTTCAAACCGGAAGTCAGGCCCAGGACTCTTCAATATCTTCATTAACGACTTAGATGAGGGAATAGAAGGGGAACTTACCAAATTTTCAGGTGATACTAAGCTGGCAGGAATAGCTAACACCCAAGAAGATAGGCTCAAGATCCAGATGGATCTTGACAGAATTAAACACTGGGTCCTATCCAATAAAATGAAATGTAGAGAAAAGTAAAGTCCTACACTTAGGCAAGAAAAACCCAAAGGACACATATAGACTGGGTGAAACCAGGCTCAATAGCAGGAACTGGGAGAGGGATCCTGGAGTCTTAGTGGACAACCAGCTAAATAGGAGCCAGCCGTGTGCAGCAGCAGCCAAAAATGCTAATGCAATCCTAAGTTGTATTAACAGAGGGATACAGTCGAGATCAAGGGAGGTACTAATACCACTCTATAAAGCCTTAGTAAGGCCACACCTAGAGTACTGCATCCAGTTTTGTTCACCACATTACAAAAAAGGTGTTGAGACTCTAGAAAAAGTACAGAGAAGAGCAACCCAGATGATTAAGGGACTGGAGACTAAAACATATGAAGAATGGTTACAGGAACTGGGCCTGGCTGGTCTCGGGAAGAGAAGGACCAGGGGAGAAAGAAGAGCATCTTCCAATATTTGAGGGGCTGCCACAGAGAGGAAGAAGGGGGTCAACCTATTCTCCAAGGCACCTGAAGGCCAGACAAGGAACAATGGATGGAAACTGAACAAGGAGAGATCTAACCTGGAAATAAGGAGAAACTTTCTGAGAGTGAGAACAATCCACCCATGGAACACAAGTTGCCCTCAGAAGTTGTGGGAGCTTCATCCCTGGAGGCTTCCAAGAAGAGATTGGACTGCCATTTGTCAGAAATGGTGTAGGGTCTCCCGCTTGGGCGGGGGGTTGGACTAGATGACCTACAAGGTCCCTTCCAACTCTGATTATCTGTTATCTGTTACCTCTGAGATCCCTTCCAGCCTTAGGATTGTAGGATTCTATGGGGTGCAGGACCAGCATTTGAGCTGCACGGTTTCCCAGGGCTTCAGGCTCACTGAGTGTCAGTTAAAATATAACCAACCGTGGAACGACGGCAAAGGGAGGGGGGTCTCCAACCTGGGCAACCTTAAGACAGGTGGACTTCAGCTCCCAGAATTCCCCTAAGGGTATTCAGAGGCTGCTTTGAATGCATTGTTATCACTTCTGCTTTATAAAAGGTTCCTTTTTGTCACTTTCTTAGGTAAGGAGGAGAGGCAATCCATACAATTTTTCAAAATTTCTATTTCATTGTACTCAAGTTGTGCATTGACAATAAACCTTTGATTTGATTTGAGTTCCCCAGCCTCAATTAGGGGGGCTGCTCTTTCCCCCCACCTCAGCACCTAGAGCTGAGCATCAAAGTTTTGAGTTCCCCGAATCTGCTCTCTTGCAGCCACGCCGGACTGCAGCTCCTTCCCCACCTATTTTGAACGGTGTAGGCTCCCTAAAGAACATTTCTTCTACAACAAGACCGCCAAGCGCTGCCAACTTTTCCTTGACTTTGGCTGCCCCGGGAGCTTGAACACCTACGACACCCTCAGGAAATGCCAGCAATCCTGCTCAGAGATTGGTGAGCCCAGCAGTTGGGCAGGGAGGGGGGAGGGTCTGGGGTCCTGTAGAGACTGGGCATCAGGGGGGTCCCTGAGACAGGCAGTCAGGTCACGCTTGGGGGTGAAGAGAAGAGTTCGGAATTGAATACCCAAAACGAGAGAATTGCCGTGTTTGCACCAGGGGTGGGACTCAATATTTTTTACTACCGGTTCTGTGGGTGTGGCTTGGAGGGCGTGGCAGGGGAATGATACTGTAACATCCCCCTTCCCTCACCACTGCACTGGCCTGCTTTCCAGCTCCGTTCTCCCGTGCAGGGCAACCAAAGGAAACCCAGCCGATCAGCTGGGACTCAATGCGAGGCGGAGAAGAGATGAGGTTGGCGGGGCCAGTCGGAGGTGGGATTGGCAGGTTCTCCAAACTACTCAAAATTTCTGCTACTGGTTCTCCAGAACTGGTCAGAACCAGCTGAATCCCACCTCTGGTTTGTACCCCTCCAATCCTCACCTTACGAGGTTCCTCCCCAGTTCCGCTCCATCCGTGCTCTGCACAGCAGGAGCTCCTGCCTGCCTCCCGCCCACTTCCAGGGGGACCCTGCCTGAAAGGAAGCCCTTCCTGCCCCCCTTCCTTCCATCCTCCCTTCCAGAAAAAATCCATGTATCTTCCCACCTGATGCCAACCTCTAATCCCCTCCCTCCGCCCTGCAGACATTTGCACGCTGCCTCCTGATCGTGGGCCTTGCAAGGAGAAACTGCACCGCTGGTTTTACGAGCCGAAGACCAGCAAGTGCACGAAATTCACTTTCGGGGGCTGCGAGGGGAATGCCAACAACTTCAACGTACGTTGGTTGTGCCGGCGGAGGTGCCGTGTTTGAGGTGGGTGTGGGATGCTGGGGAAGGGGGGGGGCCTGAAAGGTGGGAGGCCATGGAGGAAGGAGAAGTCCCACCTTGAGTGCGAGGGAGAGGAAGGGGTAAATGAGAGGTCCCCTCCCTCTGGCAGCCCTGCAGAAGGGGCCCCTCTCTTTGCCCCTCCTCCCCGAGATTCTGCTGCGGGATCCGTCCGTCTGGCCAAGGGGAGAAAGAGGACCCAGGATCTCTTGGGAAGGCTGACCATCCTCTGCTCCATCCCCCACTGGCCCTTCAGCCTGCCCCAGGAGAGAGGGTCCACTTTCCCCAGGGAGGGGGGGCTGGGGGACACCCCAAGGGAGGCGCCTAGGCTGGCCGGAGTGTCACGAAGGCCGAGGCTGGAGCAGAGCAGCCCCTCAGAGCGGGGGAGGGGGGGTCTCTCTGGTTCTCGGCCTGGCAAGAAGGAAGGGTCTCTCCAATGCCTCTGCCCCCCCCCTGCAGCCCCCCAAGGAAGACTCTTCCTGAGGCCTCCTTCCCTTTTCCAGGAACTCCCTGAAGGCTCCGTGGACGGAAGCTCGGCCTGCTTTGTGCTGAATGGAGAGAGAGGCCGGTTCCGGAGGAGACCAGGCGCAGAAAGCCTCCAGGCGCCTTGAAGAGGGAGGGGGGATTCTGGAATAAATCCTTGCCCGAAGGAGACGGTGGTCTCAGGTGCTCTGTGTGTCTCTTTTCCTGGCAAGGGGAAGGGGGCACAGGCTGCCTCCCCTTCACCCACTTGCCACAGCTCTGGCACACCCTTGCTGGGCGCCCACCTGGTTGTTCTCTTTCCTCCTTGCCAGGCATACAGAGGAGTGTGTGCCAATCCTACCCACCCAAGGAGCCAGCACAGACACAGGGGAAGGGGCTTTCTGGAGTGTCTCCTCCTCTCTCTACAGGAGCCGCCCACCTATTTTGCCAGGTTAATGCATCCCCTTTCAGATCCAGCACCTGGATCCTCGCACCTCCCTTAAGTGAATCTGCGTTTCTGTGTTCACACAACACAAGGGATCATAAACTAACCAAACAATAACATACACAGCCACAAAAATTAATCCAGGTTAAGAGCCCCCAAATTCCTCCAGCTGTGGGATGCACTGGCCGAGGAGCCCCCAACCTTCCAATGAGACCAGGATGGCCAAGGATTAAGTGGAGAGAAAGCTGGTTCAAAAAAACCCATCTTTGGTGGCTCCAAAATCAACTGGGGGCCATCCCTGGGGGCCCATGTCTTATTAATGGCTTAGAAGGGGGCGAAGGGGTCTCAGAGCCACAGAGGGCACCAGAAGGGCCACACACGGTTTGAAAGGGATCGGGGGGAAGGGCTGCTGCGTGGGGCACTGCGTGGCCCTCTCCCATCCAGAGGTCTGCAAGCAGCACCTGGGGCCACAGAGCTTGCCATGCAGGGGCAACTCGTCCCTTTCTCTCTTTCTCCTGCCCCTCCTCTCTCTCCCTCCCTCTCTCCCTCCCTCTCTTCCCTCCCTCCCTCTCCATCTATTTCTCTCTCCCTCTCTCCCTCCTTCTCTTCCCTCCCTCCCCATCTCCATCTATCTCTCCCTCTCTCTCTCTCTTCATGCTTCCCATTCTCTCCCCCCTCTATCTTTTTCTCCCTCCCCCTCCCCTCTCTCTCCCTCCTTCCCTCCCTCCCTTCCTCCCCCCAAGGCCCAACTGTCCATTGGTGCATCAAAGGTGACCTCTTGCATGGACATCCCCTCTCCTCTGGTCCTTCTGAGACCTCAGAGTGGACTTCCTTCTCTGGCCTCCCTGCAGGTCCCGTCCCTCCAGGGGACCGAAGGAAGGAAGTCTTCTCTGGCTACAGAATACCAGAGTCGGAAGGTGCCTTGAAGGTCTCCAGAAAAAGCCTCTGCCGCCTCCCCCATCCCCTGGAGCCCCTTCTTGAGGGGGAGGGAAGACCAAGATGGACCCCCCCATAGCACACCCAGAAGGAGAAGCCCCTCCCTCTGGACATGTCCACCCCCAGGATTCCAAGCCAAAAGGTATTCTGACCGAAGCTTCCTGAGAAAGCATAAAACACACTCTTAGTCCCAGCAAAACCTCTTTGATTTCCACAGCTGTGAATTACGTTCCTTCACAGCCAGCAAGTCTTCCCAAACAGTCTTTCAGGCAAATGCTGATAAACACCCACCTTATCGCACTTGGAATGCGGCCAAAGAACTAATTGCCATTTGCAGGGCAAGGCCAGACTTGACACAGTGTCAAACAGAACTTTTCAAAGCTTGAATCAACCATACAAACTAATTGCTTCCTGCAAAAGCTCACATCCCGTTTGCTCCTCTTTTATGAACCATGGGAGAGGCCAATCATCTTCGAGGTGTGTGGTCTTACTCCTGAGCTGACCCTGCTTTCTCAATTGTTCTTGTCTTCTGGTAGCCCTGCACATGCGCAGGCTGGGAACCAGCTGCAGAAGCTCCCTCGCCTCACTGCTGTCAGTCTGAAGGCAGCTGCTGATTGCCAGCCTGGCCTGGCCCCATTTCTGCCTCCAATGCAGAGCCCTCGTCTGAGCCTTCCTCAGCCTCCAAGACTGGCCCAGCTTCCTCCCCAACCTCCTCACTACTGTCCAACTCTGCTGCCAGCTCCGTCAGCCACCATCGGGCCACAACAAAAGGAAGGAGCTCAATTAGAAATTAAGATTAAGATAACTGTTAAATCAGGTGAAGGATGGACCCAGAGCCGGCAGTTGCAACACTGATTTATTCAGCAACAAACAGTAACTAGAAGTTACATCGTATCGTCTGATCTGGCTGCGGGTTGGCAGCTCTCTTTTATACAGAGCTTCAGCCATTAGCCAATGGATTTAAACTATTTTCCCGCACGTCGGGTGGACCGGAGGGAAAACTCCTGTCTGCACATGCGCACACACAACACCCCTCTCCAACTAGCTGGAACCTTTGGTCTTTAACTCTTACGCTACAGGCATAGTCTTCCAGGTAAGCAGGTTGGCGGCAGTTGCGTGTTTACTTGCGGTTCTCCCATATTCTCAGTGAGGCCTTGTGATTCTCCCTCATTCACGAAAAGTCTTCGACTGGAGCTGATGGGCTGTTGGAGTCCTCTTGAGGAGTTGGCTGGGCGTGGACCTCATTCGGAGTTGATTGCAGTGGCAGCAGGGCCTCAGTGGCAGGTGTTCCATGCATCGTGAGGCTCAGCCCCAAAGGTAGCAGAGCTCAGCTCCCTTGGTCGTCTTGTCCTTCAGCATTGGATAGAGGAGTTGTCTTGTCTGGTCTGCTGTGGCCAGTGGCATCTAGGTGACTCCAAAGCTGGTCAATGTGGCAGCACCACAGGCAGCACTCTCCTAGCTCCACATGATATGAATGGGGGCCGGTTACTTCCATAATTTGTGCCGGCAGCCAGGTGGGGTAGCCCATGTAGTTCCAGGCATATACTCGGTCATCCTTGGCAAATGTTCGGGCTTTTAAAACTGTATCTTTAAGAAAATGCAAAACTGTAGTTGGGTGTGGTTTCTCAAACGGCCATAAGATGGAGCCAGAAACCTGGGTTGTCTTAGTCTTAGTCTCAAGAGTCTCAGAACAGAGCATGAGTGAATCTCTGTTTCCTTCTGTTGGAGAGTATTGCCGTTCCTCCATTTTTCCTAATTGACTGATATTCGTGGATTTGATGTAAGTATGATACTGAACTGTTTTTGACACTGAACTTTGTTATTGGATTATCCCTGGATGAAAACTGAGTGATTTTACCTTTGAATGACTTTGGACTGTGTTTGAACTTTGCTTAAACGTTTCTGGAAGTAAAAACCTACATTTACTGTACGCTGTATCTGCGTGCTGTGTGTGTGTTATTCAAACACTTCTCTCACTACGTCTCCCTGTATGCGCTCATTCTCCTAACGGGGAATTACCTCAACAGTTTCCCCCCAATCACTGGGGACTTCTGCTGAGTAGTCAGGGTGTACTCGGTCCAGGTTGGTTTGTAAGCGGCAGCCCATCAGTAGTTCTGCCGGGCTTCAGTTGGTTGTGGCACTGGGTGTGATGTGTTGTGTTTGCAGGTACTTTGTGAGTATCAACTCAAAAATATTTCTCTGGTCTTTTAGAGTTGTCAGCAGAAAGGGTGGGGGAAGACCAGGGTGAAGGATGAGATGAATGATGTGTCTCAGAGTCAGCTGCACCCAGGTAATGCTGGCATGTTCACTCCTAATGATTTTTTTAAAACTCTGAGAGATGTGGTTAGAGACTCATGATTTGAATGGGGGATTGTTGGAGCCCTGGCAGTGAGTTTCTCTTGCCAGTCTCCTGGGCCCGTTTGGGCCAGTGCCTTTTTTGTGGTGCACACCATTCTCTCCACTTGTCTGTTGCTCACGGGGTGTAATGGTGCGATAAGGGCATGGTGTACTCCATGGTTTGCCAGGAATAGTTCAAACTGGGTTGCTGTGAACTGTGGCCCATTGTCTAACACTAACACATCCAGTAGCCCAAGGATTGTGAACAACTTGTTTAGTGTTCTGATGATGGTGTCTGTCATGGACTTCATCGGTGCCACCTTTAGCCATTTTGAATACTTGTCGACCATGACTAGGAATGTCTGCCATTGGTTTGGTCACACAAAGTTGATTCACAACCAGGACCACAGGGTCTTTGGTGTCTCCCATTCCCATGGTGGCACAATCGGGGGTGCTGGCCTTGATTCCTGACACGGCTGGCACAACACAACCCTTCCCTGATGTCCTTGTCCAGGTTGGGCCACCATATCTAGCTGTGGGCCAGCGCCTTTATCTTTATGATTCTGGAGTGGCCTTCATGCAGTGTCTCTAATGGGGGTTCCCTTAGCTTTGGGGAAATCACTACACGGTTTCCCAACAGCAAACAGCTCTTTTGGACTGATAGTTCATGTTGTCTGGTATAAAATGGTTTAAATTCCATGCTTGTTGGCTCCTTGGGCCACCCCCTCCACACCCAGTTTAGTACCTGTGCGATTGTTCGGTCTCTCTTTGAGTGGTCGGCTACTTTGGTAGCCATGACAAGCCTGGATGGCAGGGTCTTGATCAGCAATACTGCTGCTGCTGCTGGGGATGGGTCTTCCACAGTTTTCGGAAGTGGGCATCTGCTGAGGGTGTCTGTGTGGCTTAATGAAGTGCCAGGTCGGTGTGTGAGACAGTAATTCTAGGTGGTCAGGAATATTGCCCAAGGCATCATTTGAGGGGACAGGACCTGCGGTGTCTGTTGGTCCCCTGCAATCAGGCCCAGTAGCAGCTTGTGATCTGTCACTAGTTTGAATGGCTGCCCATAAATGAATTCGTGGAATCTCTTTACCCTGGCAACTGCAGCCAATGCTTCTTTGTCAAATTGGCTGTAGTTCCTCTCTGCTGATGTTAGCATTCTGGAGAAGAATGCTATTGGGCCCTCACAACCGTCTAGGAACCGGGGGCTCAGAACTGCCCCGACCCTGAATGTTGACGCGTCGCATGTCAGGCTAGAAGCTGGTTCTCATATTGCACGAGAACGCTGTCCAAGGAAATTAAATTTTTTACTCCGGTGAACGCATCCACTTCTTTCCAGCCCCATGCCAACTTCTTGTCTAATAGCTGATGGAGGGGCTCTGCGACAGATGTCTTATGCCACAGGAATACACTAAAGAAGTTGAGGAGCCCCAGGAATGCTTGGAGCACTGTCTTGCTTTTTGGCATCAATGCTGCTTGCATTTTTTCCTTGGTGGGGTGCAATCCGGAGGCATCAATTAGGTAGCCCAGGAACTTGAGTTGCCTTACTGCAACTTTGCACTTCTCTTTTTTGACTGGAACTTTTGTAGGACCATCTGTAGTCGGTCGAATAGTTCTATTTTGTCTGTGGCTGATACAAGCACATCATCAAAATATGGGACAATGCCTGGGATGCCATGTAGTAGACGCTCCATCAAACATTGGAAAAGACCATGCTTACTCCAAACTGCAGGCAGCATCGGAATGCACCCCTCTATGTCACGATTGGACTTCGGCTGTGGCATCATCCATAGGGAGCTGCTGGTAGGCTTGGGCAAGATCTACTTTGACAAAAATCTTGCCCTCACCCAAAGAGTGCAGTAAACATTGCACCACCAGTACCAGATATGCTTTCTGCTGTAGGGCTTTATTGATGGTGCATTTGTAGTCCATGCATATCCTGACCGAACCATCTGGCTTCACTGTGGTCACTATGGGAGTCTCCCATCTCGCATGGTCGACTGGTTAAATGAGCTTGTCCAGCTGTTCATCCACCTTGGGCCTCAATGCAAAAGGTGCTCTCCTTGGTTTCAGTCGATTAGTGCCACGGTGAGGTCCAAGTTAAAGGAGATCGGGGTGCGTTTGTATTTCCCCACCTCCCCATCGAAAACCTCTGCAAATTTCCTGCTTAAGGCCTTTGCCATTGGTTTGCTGATGGCATTCACTCTAGTGATTCCTAGCCCCAGGGGTGCAAACCAGGCCAGTCCCAAGAGGCTTGGCAAGACTCTGTCAACAGCTATCAAGGGGAGCTAGTGGGTTAGCCTCTTCTTTATCAATTTTGGCACTAGGCATTGGATAGTTCTCCAGGAAATGATGGTTGTTGCCGATCCTGTGTCCACCTCCATCTGGCATGGGGATCCCTCAATTTTGATGGTGACATGGACTCTTATTCTTTCTTTGTGGTGTGCTCGCTTGCCTGCTGACCATTTCTGTTTGGCAAGTGTCCATATATATGGTGAAACAGTCGTCCTTGCTTGCCCTTCTCCTTGGGTATGATTTCTTTGATCCAGCTTGGTGTGTGTTGACAAAACCGGGTATCAGGTTGGCGAAAGTGGGTAGCTTTGCATGGCACACAGCTAGGTGCCCCTTCTTCTCACAGAGCTGGCAAATTGTATTCTTGTGTTTGCACATGGCCCAAGGGTGATTCCTGCCATATCCAATGCAGACGGGTGGCTTCCTTTTGGGGGCCATCTTGCAACCCTTGTCCGCCACCTTTAACTGATTGACGTCATTGTCCTCATTCTCTTCCTCTTCCTCCTCAATGCTTTCTTTCAGTTCTGTTTCCTCATGGTGCACAGATGCTGTCTTCCTCAAATTCAGTGGGCTGCTCAATTGTTGTATCTCCTGCCTCAATTTGGCCGATGACTCTGTGGCATGGGCTTCCTCTAGTGCCAACTGTAGGGTGAGTGTTGGCCAGGCTAGTAGGCACTGGTGTAGCTTTAGATTTCTCACACTGCAGACCAGCCTGTTGTGGTTAGCTGGCAGCAGGTGCGGATGGTGGAGGAGAGCGAGGACTTGGAGGAGGGGCCAGGATCGTCAGCGAGTGGACTGCTGCCTTCAGGGATGGTGGGGGCTGGCAGCAGTGATGAGGAGGTTCCAGAAGAGCCTGTGCTAAGTGCGCGTGAGTGCAGGATGATTCATAGAAGAGAACAGCTGAAGCTGCACAGATGACTCGGGAGTAAGGATGCCCCTCCCTCCAGGGAATGTAAGCCTGGTTTTGCAAAGGCAAAAACGTTCGAAGGACTCAGTGTTGTGATTAAAGGCTCTGATTTATTTGAAGACTTCTGCCAAGGTTTTTCTAATTGGACTAATTGGCTGCAAGCCATCTGTTATCTACAAAGAGGTTTATCTGTAGATTGAAGCCGTGAAAGTTTGAGTTACTGAGTTTATCTGTGTTTGCTCTCGGGGAACCTGGCTGGGTCAGAACACAGCCTGTCCATGAGCACCTCATTCGGGTCATGCAATTCACAAGAAATGGCTGCTGCCTGGAGTGCTGCCATATATTTATTGATGGATTTGGCCTCGGCCTGGTTCCGATGGTAGAATGTGTGCCAGGGGGCGATGCAGGAGGGTCTCGGTGCATAGTGCTCCTCCTGCAATTTTTCTTGTAGTGTGTCCCATGATACTGTCTGCAAGGGTTGTGGAGCGACGAGGGCTCTTGCCGTAACGAAGACCCCCGTGACACAGTAACTTAGGAATAGCGCCCATTTATGGTTGTCCATGATGTTTGTAAAGTTGTTGGCTTCCAAGATGCACTCAAAGCAGACGATGTAAGCATCCCACGTTTCTGATGCTGGATTGAATAGTGTGAACGGCAGAGGTGTAGCCATCTCCACTAGCTCCGTGTGCTCGACGTTGTGGCCATGTTCCTTCAGGCTTCTGCAGTGGTTCATGCGGTTCTTGTTTCCATCTGATCCCACCTTCGTCGCCAGTGTTAAATTGGGCGATGGATGGACAAAGAGCCGGCAGTTGCAACAGCGTCTTTATTCAGCAACAAACAGTAACTAGGAGTTCCATCGTGTCATCTAATCTGGCTGCAGGCTCTCTTTTATAGAAAGCTGTCAGCCATTAGCCAACGGATTTAAACTATTTTCCCGTGTGTTGGGCAGAACAGAGGGGAAACTCCTGTCCGTGCATGCGCATACACAACACTTAACTTTTATGGTCATTTTCTATTGTGAGAACATTAAAAATAAAATTATGTTGCTTGCTATCAAAGAAAAAATATATATCTACCTCTATCCTCATACATAACACACATATACACATGCTATATACATACATACATACACATACACCACACAAGTGGATAGATAGATAGATAGATAGATAGATAGATAGATAGATAGATAGATAGATAGATA